GTATTATTGGCATACTGCGGATCTTGCAGCTGTTTGCATACTGCATACTGCATTTTGGCCAAATCAGTATGTATTAGTAGTATAGTGCAAGAAATTCAAAATGCAGTCCATTTGATAGTTAGATTTCAAGATATTTAAAGTCTGGACCAAACTGGCAAAACAGCCAACCCTTCCCTTTAGTGATGCTGCTTGCATGTCTAAAACATTCTGCTTTAATCTATGATTTAAAAGTAACACTGGCTTCTGCATCCAAGACTTCGATCAATCTTAATGTAGCACTGCTAGTTTTGAAGTATCTCTGTTGGATATCTTCTTACTTTCATTTGCTCGCAGCATTTTTGAGTTGTTGACAGAGCTGCCTCTCATGGATGTGAAAATCAGTTGAATTACTCACACACACCGCCCAGGGTTTTCAGTCGCCTCTCACCTCTGCTGTGAATCTTTCTTCATTCATTACAGGCAAGCAGAGCTCGTCCACTCTGAGCACTTTGACTCCCATTATGTATTTCCAATCAAAAACCCAAACAGTAATGTTCTCTGCTGTGAGTAATAAAATTAAATGAAATTATAATTGAGTTTATTTTCTGATGTGAAGTGAATAGAGGATGCCCAGAGATGTGAACAACAGGTAGATGAGTCATTCAGCTCCTGCATATGAAGATTCACTGCCAGGCATTTTGCATTCAGAACCACAGGGGTCAGAGATGCACACAGAAAATGTAATGCATCAGATACTCTTCAGTGTGATTTATGCAGCTTCCTGCGTGATCAACAGGGCGGGATGATGCTTTTTTTCATAAAAGCCTCTGTGTGAATGAAATGTGCATTAGGATTGAAATGGGAAGGACAGCCACACACACTTAAATCTTATATTATTTACATTTTCTAAGAGGATTTTTTTTTTACTGGTTATAAAACAGACTTAATTTATGAGCTACATTATTATGGCGATTCACTAAGCCAGTGAAATGGAAGCAGGACAAGATAGTTTTGGCCAAAGGGTACTGCAAATACAGCACAGAGATAAGAATGTACCGCTTCGGGCAGCAGTAGCTCAGTTCGTAGGGACTTGGGTTGGGATTGGGAACTGAAGGGTCGCCGGTTCAAGTCCCGATGCAGAACATAATATGGAAGTTGGTCTGGTAGCTGGAGAGGGGGCAGGGCATTTACTGAGTACTGCTGAGGTGCCCTCTGAGCAAGGCACCGAAACTCCAACCGCTCTGGTGCGCTCCCTGCGTAGCAGAGTGTAGCAACCCCACTCTGACATCTCTCCACTACTGCACTCTCTCTCGCTCTCTCTCGCTCTCTCTCGCTCTCTTGTGCACACAGCAATTTTAAGAATAAATGAAAAATTGAATAAAAACAGGCCGGAATTATACTTCAGCGGCCATACATTTACTTCTCGTCTATGTGTGGGAAACACTGGTGATGTGTTGAAACCAGCGGGGGACGGCAGAGATGAAGATTCTAGTTAGAGACTTAGGGCCCTGTTGTGAAGGTTTGATCAGACGTCTTTCATTGGCAGAGCGTAGTGAGTGTAGACCTGGATGATGTATGCTAGTAACTGGTGCAACATATTTAGTATTTCTTCTGTATGTTACCACTAAATACCAGAGAATTACATTTTTTGATCATATTTATAGAAAACGATCCCCCTAATTTTCTGCTACTCAGGAGCATTTATTGCATATCTCACCTGTGATTTGATGTTCGATTGAGAAATGTCTCTGAAATGCAGAAATGGAAAAAAATAACTGGACTTGATCATCTGTATCTTTGATAACTTTATGTTGGCCTTTATAAAGAGTCCTAAGGACTGCAAGCATGTTTAGAACAGGGACATAAATCAGATGAGGGCGTGACAACTAAAACGATTGTCACACTTGCAGAGTATTCCTCAGATGTGCAGCCAGGGATGCGTCCTTCTGAGGACCTTGCTGTGGCTCCTGATCAATAAATATCTCCCCTCTGGTGTGAACAAAAGGAGCCGCTGGAGGAAAAGGAAAAAACGGCCCCTGCACATTACTCTTTAAGGATTATGTGCCCTTTAAGATGCACATGTATTTTATCAGTGCACTCAGATGTCATAAACTTAATGCAGGAGGCCCATTAATATCAGCACCAGCAGGTTTTTCTCTGATTTATCTGAGGTGGTTCAAGGAAAAAAAAAAACATAAAGCTTATCCTCTTCCAGCACTGCATCAGTCATAATTCTCAAACTGGCACCTTCTTCTCCACACGCTTAATGGATACAGAGCTTTATAATTTATCCTCTTCTTAACGGCAACTTTACCTGAATTAAATCTCAGGCGCAGTACTTTGGTGACGTCCTTGCTAAGTACCGCAATCAGATTTCTCCATTATGTAAGGAATGAATACAAATGGGCTGGCTGAGACGGAGACAAAGTGGCAGCAGAAGGACAGGGGACACAGGGAGAGATAGCAAAAGTAAGTCCGAGAGACAGAGAAAAGGGAATAGACAAAGGAACAAAAGGTTGGAAGAGCTGAACAAGAGTAGCTCTTGACCTTCATCATTGTGATGATCACACACATTAGTTGCAGCCATTTGCACCACATCCTTGAATGAACCAGGCTCTTTTTGGACTGTGCAGAAAGGAAAATCAAGCAGCTTTAGGTGAGCATCTTCAGGTTTTGGCTTCAGCTGTCAGAGCCCCCACCTGAGCCTGGATCTTGGAGCCTGCGGCCTGTCACTGCCCTGCCAAAACTGGAGCTCATTTGTGGAATACGCTCTGCCTTCCTACGGTGGCTGAGAGGGATGTAGAGTGTGGGATCAAAGCATGCAACAGGACACACACAGCACATTGCTCGGTGTCACCTGGTGATAACCCTCATTTCTGCTGCCAGGGTGGATTCCACTCATATTTCACAAGCAAACTCTGGGCCTTGCTCATCTCTCTGCCCGGCTAAATATGAAATAATAACCTGCCCAGGCTGTGTGCACTCTTAACCCGGAGACTACAAGACAGAGCTCGACTGATAAAACAAAAATCCTATCATTAGGCAGACGCCTGCAGGTTGCCTAAAGATTGTAACAGGGAAGGAAAGATGTGATTATTTCAGTTTTCTTATTTCAAATTTAGAATCCAGTGCCGTTAAGAAGGAGGAAGAGATTTAAATTCTTGATTTAAAGTTCCCAAACTATCTTTTTGAGGAGTTTAATAAAGTCTTGGATGGAGTTAACAGTAATGTAGGGGAACTGATAACCAAGCCAAACTTCATCCACTGAGGAAGGCCATGGAATGTGTTCGAAGGCTCCATGCAAACAAGTCTGAGCCTTCCCTTGATAAATAAATGTCCCCCAAAAAGCACTCAATAGAAAGCCTTGAAACAGGAGTTGGCAAAGGAGCACGATGTACGCCATTAAAAGTGCAAACCATTAAACTAATTAGAGTGGATTTTATTGATCCCAAACAGCAGGCAATGTTTTCTTGTACATCTGATTGAGATTGAAATACTGGCTGTCTGACACAAAAGAAACAAATGAGAAAACCTGAGGACATGTGGTTGTGTTAATTAATGCTGACTGATGAGAGCTAACTTTAAAGCACAGGTGAGGAGTTTTTTTAATACTCGTGTCTCTTTTTGACTTGGGAAAACAAAACCTGACAATTAAGCTGTTTTCACATATGCCCTTCTGAAAATATCTCGATAAATTTCAGGAGGACTGCTCTGGATATTCTCCTGACCTGGCTGTTCACATATGCTCCTCACAGCGGGAAACTATCCCTGTCAGATGGGAGGGGGGTGAAGTCTGAGGGAAAAATATGGCTGTTTGCGTTCCCACATGCAGCTCTTCCTGGAAATATCAGGAGTTTTTTAGGAGTTTTCTGCAAGCGTGAAAGCCGGATCAGTGACAAGATTGATGTTACTTGAATGACCCCTTACTCTGACATCTCTGGTGCATGTCAATCGGATCCTGACTGTGCATGTGTGAATGTGTGTGTAGCATGTCTCAATAACAAAGTGTAAAAATTGAATCTCCCCTTATGGATTTATAAAGTATATCTTCTTCTTCTAAACTTGTGTCAGACCTGTATAAGTCAATGCATTCTTTGCTGCAGAATGTATGCAGCCTGGAGGTTAGCACTCAGGTAAATAGCCCTCGGCTGTATCAGTAAAATAGTGAGTTTGCTGCCATGGGATCCAGTACAGAGCAGCAAGTCAGGAGTGTTTGACAGGTGTCCGTTTTGTTGAGTCTCTGAAGGAGTGTGTAAAGATGGATCATCAGGATGTGGCTTGGAGTGTGCCTATGTTTCTAGCTTTGTGGAATATACCACAATTAAGCTTTATGATATCATCCCTGCATTCCTTTTTTCTTAGTTCTAGCTTTGCATAAAACACCTGGCGTATAAACTGCTGTTGTTGGCCGCGCATAAGTTGGGGAACAGCGCCATCTAGTGTTGCATCTGTTATCATTGCAAAGGATCAGATTGGATGCATGAGTAGTATTTTTTTGAAGTCTTAACAATTTAATTTGTACACTCTGCAGGTAAATAATGAGGTCAGGGGTCTGTTGCAAGACCTGTATGTTAAAGGAAAAAAATGAAAATGTTTTTTGAGCAACTTGGGGTTAGTTGCTTTCCCCCCAAGGCACATCAGACATGTAGCTGCAGGTGTCAGGATTGAATCTCCGATTTTTCGGTGAGAAACGTCCGTCTCTACCACTAGGCCACAGCAACCCTGGCTTAACTTCAGTCTCATGCCAAACAAACAAACTGTTGTGCATTTTATCAGGCTGACTAAGCTGAGTGAAACCCAAAGCAGGGGCCCATTCTACGCAGTACAACATACCCAGGGTGTCTACTCCTGCTCTAGCTTCACCAGCCCTGACACCAGAGTCAAACGATCACATGATGAGTCAAACCAGGGTTTCTCCAGAGTGATGTAAATGTGGAGTTAACATCAGCTCGGCTAACTGGATGACTCAGTAAACATGTGTCCTGCAATATTTTGAGTATCAAAGGAGATAAGACAAGCAGTAACCTGCAATAATTTATTGGAAGAATAAAGGATTATGTAACAACATAAAGGGTCACACTGTCTTTTAAAAAGACATTTGTGTCTCTATCTCACAAATGAAACATTCATCATAAAGTTCAATGAACAATATACAGATACTTTAAAACAAACCACTTCAAGAGTTGTCTTAAAGCAAGTTCCTTGTAGGAATAAAATACAACTAATTAAATAGAATAAAACAAAATGAATTAAATAATAACATGGACTGAAAAGATTTCAGTTCGGTTTCAGAATTCAAGTTCTACGGTTGCAAGAAATCATTTATTTCACAATAACATATAACACATGTGAAGTTCGAGTGAAAAGGAGATTAAACATTGTTGGAAATGTAAGCATTTTCAGAACCTTTGGAAGTCTCAACAAAAATCATTCAAGACCTGGAATCATTACACATTCAAAGATTCTTAGAAACCTTACTCTAGATTAAAAATACCTGGCAAAGCCGCCCTCGAGTGTAACATGACTCAGTTCTTGTTTGACCCTTGAACTCTAACAGTAGTCCTTTGAGAAAGAAGTGTTTACATCAAGTCTCTCTAACTATGGATACAACACTTTGATGCTGAGAGCAACTAAACATTTTTAAATTAAAAGAATGGGTTTAAAGACAGTACATCAATTATTTACATCAACAATCACCAGCAAAAATGTGAATGTTACCCTTTCTAGATAAATAATGTGACATGTCACCAAACACTTCAAAGTTCTCCCCCTGTTTTGCAGCTTTTTCCTTACAGCAATATTTCCTTTAAGTTAGTGACAGTACAGCCTCATAGGTGCACACTATGCAATCTGTATACAGCACTTCCACAACAAGAACCTTCAAAGAACCCCTCTTTTTGAAAAACAAATACATTTGAACAGGAATAATAAGTGAGTTGGGTGTTTTTTTAGCAGGTTATCCATTGTTGGATAATGGGATAAAGGTGCCGTGGTGGTTTAGAAGGAGAGGATCGTTTTCTGGACAATGTCGACACATTCGCGCAGCTCGTCTTCTTTGATGACAAGGGGAGGGGCAAGGCGGATGATGTCACCGTGGGTGGGCTTGGCCAGAAGTCCGTTGTCACGAAGGCGCAAGCACACCTTCCAGGCATCATAGTCTGGGGGAGAGATATTTATATTTACATCACATATTGTATAAAAAGGGACTGCAGGGTGTAAAAAAAAAAAAAAAAAAATGCTATAAATGATGGATTCAAGCACTGATATGCTTTTTAAACTACATTTGGAGGTATTTGCACTGTGAAGAAGGCATTTAAAAATATATATTTTGGTAATTTATCACAGCTGATCTACAATAAGGCTGCATTTTTAGAAACAGTTCAGTACTGTACCTTTGGTCTCTTTGATAACGATTGCATTCAGCAGGCCTTTCCCTCTGACTGTTGTCACAATGTCTTTCGGGAGTTTCTGTAGCTCTGAACGCAGAATCTCTCCCATCCTTTGAGCGTTCTCTGACAGCTTCTCCTCCTCCATCACCTGAAAATACACCAAAAGGACAGGCCTTTTTTAATGTGGTGTTGAATTAAAATGTAACTGTTGGAAGCTTTGAATCATTTTTTAACTTCATGGTATGTTGTAGTGAAAGAATATTCTATTTATTCACTTTTAAAAAAGTGGGTTAAAAAACGTGCTTGGAGTAAAAGAAAAAAGATTAATACTGACTTCTAATGCAGCCATAGCGACCTGACAGGCCACAGGATTTCCCTCCATATGTGGACCCGTGCTCCCCAGGCTTGATGGTCAGCATTATCTCGTCGTCACACAACACAGCAGATACCTGAGACATACAGATCAATTCAAGCAAAAGGTTAAAGTCTCACAATCAAAATAATCTATACTTCTCTACTCCTGGAGTTGATCGCAAGCAAATCTATAAAGTGTGACTGCGCAACAACAAACATTCTTACAGGGTACGTTCCTCCAGAAAGAGCTTTGCCCAGAATCACTACATCTGGACGGACTTCTTCATGGTCTACAGCCAGCCGCCGGCCGGTCCTCGCCAGGCCTGTCTGCACCTCATCAGCAATCCACAGCACCTGAACATAACAGGGAAGTTAAGTAGTAATCTCAAAGCCTAGTCAGTTATCTACATGGCTCTCATATATATGTTACTTGTAGATACAGAAATGACACCTCATTATTTATTGAGTACATAAAAAACAAGGATTGTGCAAAAGTGATTAACAGTTTTTGTCCTCATGGTGAGGAAAGAGTTCTCAGGTAAATGTGGTTAGTTAGTGTCTCAGCTCTCAGAGACATTAGCCTAGGTAAGTAAAGACTGAACATGTCAAATACCAAGATAAATAACAATAGTAAACCGTCAATAACGAGACTTGCTGCTTTAAGCTGTCATTCCTTTCCAATGATATGGAATCTTTCACAACAGTGCGTCCTTAGCGTAAGCGTTTAGGAATGGATAACATAATCAAACAATCACCAACATAACCATCTGACATTATTGATCTCCACTGTATTTCAATCTATTTCTGTCCTTGTTAATCACAGGTTATCTCAAACTAAATGCTCTACTCTTTGCAACAGATAACAGTTAATTAAACAGATATCTGCCAAGACTGCAGTTTGCCCTCAGGTTATTTTGCAGTCAAAAGCAGACATTCTTCAAGGACTCGCTGCCCTGTTTCTGTTTAATGTTTAGCAATGCTGAGAAACTTTATGTTCACTCCTCAGACCAAACAAAACCCTTAGAGAAATGCATATGGGAAACACTGACACAAACACTTACAGTCCAGACAACAACATAACATTTACAGACGATTCGGATGAGTATTTCATCACAACAAAATACATTGTTTAGTTTGAAGATAACTGTGGAATGTTATCAACACGGCACAACTATGCGGATGAACCAGTATTAACTGTTCATGCTTGTTTGTTTGTTTGTGGGCTTTTATTTTTCTATTCTTTAGACTCACATTGTATTTGGTGCAAAGTTCTCTGACTTTGGTCAGGTAGCCGAGCTCAGGCACAACCACTCCAGCCTCCCCCTGGATCGGCTCCACCATGAAAGCTGCAACATTCGGGTCTTGAAGAGCTATCTGGAAGACAGAGGGAGAGAAAAAAAAAAAAAAAAAGGACCAGTCAGACAATTTTATCAGACACGTAAGATAAACCCTGTTGACCTGCTACTTCAGTGAAAAATGAGTTCACATATTTAAATAGAGTCAGCTGTTGGATTGTCAAGGCCTTCAGTCATCCTGTTTAAATACCAGCAGATAATGAGGGAGTCAAGTCAGCAAACTTTGAGGGATCTTTGATGTAGACACTTTAGAACTTAAAAAAATATATATAAATGATGTCAAATAAGTTATTCTAAATATACAGCTGGGTGTGCAAAAAGTGCAAATATTTGCCTGCACAAAATAAAATATTTAAGAACAGTTTTCGAAACAGGTCACTTGTTTGGTTTTTTTGGTATTCAAAGTCTTGAGTTGAAGGGAAAAAAAAGAAGTACTCTGCAATTTGGCAGCAGGGTTAATGGGTCCCATTTGTTGGATCCTTCTACTTGCACATTAACTCTGAGCAAAAGTATGATGAAACTTTTGCTGCCTGTTACAAGATGTTACTATAGCTGTAAAAGTTAACCACGTATCTTGCAATAAGATCAAAACCTGTGCATGTAGGCATGTTATAGCATGGAAGAGGCAATTGTTCGTCCGCAGTGTCCCTGGCTGCCCTATAATTTTGGCATTTGACAAGGCACTTAAGACAGCTGGATAGTACAAGGGTTTAGGAAACAGTTCTAAAAAAAAAAAAAAATGTACTTGTGGCAGTATGAAGCTCAGTCTGCAAGCAATTCCAGCTTGCAGACTGAACAAATGTAACACATTAAAGTAAGCATGGTACATTTTCAACAGTATTCTTCAAGGGTAGTCCAAAGTATTACCTCCAGTGCAGCAGTGTCATTGAATGGAACATTCTCAAAGCCCGGCATGAAGGGGCCGAAACCTTCATAACTACTGGGATCATTGGAGCTGGAGATGGCTGCCATTGTACGGCCCCAGAAGTTTCCATCTAACCAAAAAGATTCAAGAGATGGAATATCTGTCATTCTCATCAGCTCATAGCTTTGCATGACATCAAATTAAGTTACCACAATGTTCATTTATGTAAGATAAACAGTGCAAATGCTATGATTTAGCAAAGGTTGATAAACAGAGCCTATTTTGTTAGAATTGTCGTTGTGGTTTTTAATCAGTATATTTCTATCACTTGAATAAAATCTAAACAGTTTCAATGGTTTTGCACATATTGGTGAAATATCTGACAGCTTAGGTTTCCTGACAGAGAGAACTTAAAAATACACTCAAGAGACACGAAGTAAGCTACAAAACGTAACTGATTCCAAAACTGTTGTTTAATATTTCACAAGGTTATAATTATGTACCTGCAAAAATGATTTTGGCCTTGTTCTTGGGAACACCCTTCACATTGTACGCCCATTTGCGAGCAAGCTTGCAGGCAGTTTCCCCACCTTCAACACCTATTATGAAACAACAGAACAAAAGTCAACAACTACAAACTTGTGCTAACCACAGGATATGTCGTATGGTGTTTCCTTGCAGTACCTGTGTTCATGGGTAAGACTTTGTCATAGCCAAACATGTTGGTGACGTACTCCTCATAGGCTCCCAGGACATCATTGTAAAATGCTCTCGAAGTCAGGGTAAGTTTGGAGGACTGGGCCGTAAGTGCAGCAATGATCTTTGGGTGACAGTGGCCCTGATTCACCGCACTATACGCACTAAGAAAGTCATAATACCGGTTTCCATCAACGTCCCACAAATGGATGCCTAAAAAGTTAAGAAGAAAACAAAGTTCTTAATATTCGTCAGTGATGACTCTTAAGTAACCTGTCAAATATTTTGAGGAAATTAACTCACCCTCTCCTCTCTCTAAGGCCACAGGGAGCGGGTGGTAGTTATGCGCTCCATGTTTGTCTTCACGTGCGTAGATTTCCTCCGAGGTCAGCGGACGTTCCACTTTCAGTTTGGGGGCAGCGGTAGAGACTGAACGCTGACCAGAATAAAGGCTGCGACTTAGTACAGGGGCAGCGCGGCTCACCCTGCGGCTGAACTTGACGATCATTCCTGACATTGCTATGTTGCTGTGTCTAAATGGCGACAGAAAAAACAAGGGATGGCCTTCAAATTGTTGTAAAGCTAACACTACCCTTCGACAAATGAAGAGTAGAAAGTTATAATCAACCTTTTTTATTGATTTATAAACTTGTGATACTATTCCCAAGTGGGAATAAATTCTCTAACCACAAAGTAAAATAAATAAATGCTCCTAAAATAAAAGTAACTTTAGCTATAAAAGTCAAGCATAATGAGAGTCCATGAAGCACACAGGCTTTGCAGGTCTGCTGAACAACGCTTCTCTTTCACACGCAACACAATAGAGGAAAGGACCTTCGCTGGGAGTTGGTTTACAAAAGCTAATCTCACTGCAGCGTGGCAACTCAACTGTGATGATCCAGATTTTTCTATTTAGTTGCAAGCGCAGTGGAGTCATGATAAATGTTTACATTCACCTTTGTTACTGTTGTTGTTACAATAAATGTTTACATTCAACCTTTGTTAAAATACAAAAAAAAAAACTGGATTTGAAATGTGACAGTGAGTGGAAAACTTTTTTTTTTTTTTTTTTTTTTTTTTTAAGTCATGCAACCTGTTTACTTGTGTGTTAAGCTTCTGGGCGAGATGGTAAAGCTGTTCTGAGGTTGAGCCAAGTTTAAGTCTTCACCCAAGCCTACGGTGACTACTGTGTCAGACGAATTAATATTACATAAGGCATTCAGTTTATACAGGAAAAAAAAAAAACCATGACATCATATGCAAATTGATGAAGAAAACTACAGCAGAGTTAAAATTGAAGGCTTCGTGGGTGGAACATCAGCTACTAACATCCAGTACTTTGCTCAGGACAATCAATAACCTTGAAGAGTGAATAAATACACACAGCAAACAGACAGCACCTGTACCAGGTTGCCCCAGTGGACCCCGTGGCACTAGTTCGTGACACTGCTCGAGAGATGATAGGTCGCTGAGGAGCTGCCTCCATAACACACCCCTAACATCACAGCCAGGAGCTAAATAAAGGACCCTGAAGCATCTGAACGATGACTTCTGAACGATGACTTCTGAACGATGACTTCCGAACGATGACAGACCCTGAACTCACCACGCTGCAAAAACCCTGCACCACTTTTATGATGTCATTTTTTAATCACGATACACAATATTGATGGAAAGCTCTTTCTGGTTTAAAACTCTGAAATAAAAACGGGTTAAGTTAAAGGACATTAGTTGCACACACTTGCCGACTAGTCTACATAATAATAATAATTAATAATAATAATAATAAAAATAATAAACACGTTTCTTAGATATAGATGCGAACAGAAATGAGCGGCTTCACTTCCTTCAGTTAGCTCGCCAAGATTAGCACATGTCTTTCTGAAGCCTCCACTAAGACACTATCAAGCGAGAATTCGTAGAAAAGGAGAGGAGAGACATAAATTACATAACAAACAATAAAGCTCAGAGGTGAGACTACCTTAAAACTCTCTTGAAATGCGGATGATGCCTGCCCTGTCCAACGGAGGAAGCGGTGAAACGAACCCGGTGCGGCTTATATTTATAAAGGTCTGACGCGTGCAGAACCGTGCTGACGAGCCCGTTGACGTTACGTACGTGCTTACGTCATTGGACACGCCTTCATGTTGCAACATTTTCCGAGAATTGCAAAGTCGTCGATCAACATAAAGCATCGAAAATCACACTAAAGACGAATTAAACTACAGGCAAGTATCGGTGATATTACTTAATTCAGTCATATTAAATGCTTTCATTTTTGTCTGATGTAAAAAGAAAAAAAAAAAAAAAAGGGAAAAACTTTGACATTCAATGCATTCAGTCTGACTGTAAAATATGATATGATATATAAAATATGATGTCCCTGCACTCATGTTCACGTCATTTGTCTGTCTACTCACCGTTATATTGTATAGTTTCTGCTTATAACATGTCTACACTCATGCACTTTAACTTATGTCAATACTGTCCATTTACAACTCTTGTTTTTGCACATTTACATTTAATCTTCCATATTTAATTTACAACCATTTACAACTCTTGTTTTTGCACATTTACATTTAATCTTCCATATTTAATTTACAACCATTTACAACTCTTGTTTTTGCACATTTACATTTAATCTTCCTATTTAAGACTAGTAATGCTTAGTTAAATCCTGGTTGTATATATTCACATTCTTAGTTTTGATATTTTTAGTACTTATTTACTTTGTATTTAATTTTATATTATGTTTAGATTTGCTAACATTGTGGGTTTTTTTACTCATATTGTGTGTTTAGATAACCTGCTGCTGTAACGCCACAATTTCCCAGTTTGGGATCAATAAAGTAACTCTATTCTATGATAACACTGACACGTGTAACTGGTGAATGACTACATACAGTATGAATTCAATGGGCGAGTTCTTAGGAGGAGTCTGCACATTACGCGCATGCGCTTTGTGCCCTAAATTTCGTCATGGCTGACATGGACTGGCCAGGCTGTGCAAAGAGTTTGAAAGGTGTCATATTGGACATGTGTGGCGTTTTATACGACAGCGGGGAGGGAGACGGGGTTGCCATTCAAGGTTCGGTTGAAGCTGTGAAAAAGTGAGTGGACAAGTATCGAATTGTTTTGATATTGTACTCATGTGTCTGACTGTCAAAACTTAAGGAGCAAAGTGCGTTTGCACACTGCATGGGTAACTTATGGATACTAGCAACTATTGGTGTCAGTGTGTTTATGTTTATGAAGCAGTACGTTTTATTTGAAGTATGTGGGAGCTATCTACTTGTCAGTGTCACAAGCTGTGTGCTTCCATCAAAAATGTGAACTCTCTTGATGACTTTGCAAAGGCTTCAAACATCTGACCTGCAGCTGCGCTTCTGCACCAATGAGACGCAGGCCAACAGGGAGAAGTTTGTGGCCAAACTGGGAAGACTGGGCTTTGACATCTCTGTGCCTGAGGTCTTCTCTCCCGCGCCTGCCGCCGTAGCCGTCCTTAAAGAGAGAGGTTTACGGCCCCACCTGCTGGTGTATGATGGTAATGCTTTAAACTGTGTAGAGTTTCGTGACTTTGAGTTACACTCATCATTTGAACCCAAAGTGGGACATTGCCTATCTAATACAAACCACATGTGCTTGTTTGTTCTCCTCTGTGATATGTTGACAATATAGAAAATTAAAATTGTATCAAGCCTTGTCCTTTATATGAAAAAAAAACACAACGCTGAATAGTATTAAGCTTTGTTTTCTATTTGCAGGACTTCTCCCAGAGTTTGACACGGTTGACAAAACCAACCCAAACTGTGTGGTGATTGGAGATGCTGCAGACAAGTTTTCGTATGAGAACCTGAATGAGGCATTCAGGGTCCTGTTAGGCCTGGAGAAGCCGGTGCTGTTATCTTTGGGTCAAGGGTATGACACCATATCAGAATAAGAAACATTTTATTAATCCCCAGGAGGAAATGTAGGTGTAGTTGCTCTTTTCATAGCATTAGAGAGACATCTAAATTGGAAACATAAAAAAAGGTAAATAACAATATACACAACAATTGAAAATATAAACGGCAATTACCAATATGTAAAACAGTCCAAAAACAAACAGCATTGCACATGAAACAATTTATCTCATTCCATGTTATAAGCACAGTGTGAGATTAACAAAGAGATCAACATATGTGTTTCTCCCTCCTCTCCATAGGAGGTATTACAAAGAGACAGATGGTTTGAAACTCGATGTTGGTGTTTACATGAAGGCTCTGGAGGTACAGTAGATGCATCATTTGTGTTGACATTTATAAAGAATCAATAACAACCGTTTGTTACATGTTAACAAATGCTTTTTGTTCCCTTCAGTATGCCTGTGATTTAAAGGCTGAAGTGATTGGAAAACCTTCCCCGATGTTCTTCCAGAGTGTTCTCGATGACATGGGACTACAACCACATGAGGTATGCCACAACCAAGCACATTAAATGTAGCCTTAACACAATGTACCATGTACAGGAAAGACATGCTTGTTGTTTTATAATAAAGACTTGTTCAAAGCCAAAATGCTATTTATTAAAGAGGAAATATTATACTCCTTTTCAAACAGTCCCCTGTGGTCTAAATGAAACATCTGTGCTGTGCTTTGGTCAAAATATAACATCAAACAAGCACCAGAGGAGGTTTGTGACCCTGTATAAACCAGCTCTCTCAGAACGCTCTGTTTTGGTGTGTGTGTCTCTTTAAATGCAATGAGCCCCCCCCCCCGAGATTGACAGGTAAATATCACTCCTTCATTAGCGAGAATAAAAACGGCAGACCTGTGCAAAAGTTATGCTCTAGGCTGGGGGTGGAGATATCAGAGGGGAGGGAATCCCACTGTGATGTCACAAGGAGAGCACATTTGAAACAGAGAACTTTTCTCGGTGTTGTAAGACCTACAGACAACAAGAAAAGGACTGGATGGGTTTATTTCACATGTTGTGGGTCAGTAGACACTCAGGTTACCCAAATGTATGTTCAAAAGCACTGTCCAAGTGGATTTTTCATAACATGTTACCTTTAAGCTGACTTTGCAGTGGGAATTCTTCCGTTCTTTGAATATTTGAGGTTGAGGAAGTTTAGAGAGTTTGCACTTTGTCTTGCGGCATTATGTTATGTTTAGCATTTAGTCACTCCCATCCAAATGTTTTTATTTTTATTCATGTTTATTTGAAGAGGGACAAGTATGGAGCAAGTAAACCGTTCCCACACACTACAGCATTTATAGCCTAAGCTAATTTGCAATTCTCGTCCCTAGATGGGTCTTTCAAATACTTGAAACTCAACAATAGATACGCATCAAACCGTACCAAACTATCACTGCAATAAACAGAATCAACAATCTATCATACAGTAAAACAGGAAGAGGAAGATCTTTAAAAACTTTTCCAGTTTCAAATGACAAACCTTTACCAGTCAGCATGTACAGTCATGCATTTCCAAGCAATCAAACCACTGAAATGCTGTTATGCAACCCAACAGCACAAACAGTTTAAAAATTGTTTGGTTCAAATGAATGAATTGGCTGCTGAGAGAGACTTCACATGATGTGTCACAACGTGACACATTTACAATCTGTCCTTAAACAGAAGGAAAAGGACGTTACTTTCTCTGTGATTTATTTCCAACACAAAGTTAGATTAGCTGTTAACACAACACACACTTTCTTTGAGAGACATGGAGTTGGAAAAAGATATATTTACATTGTTAGTATATGTGCAGATTAATTGTAGGGTAAGTCATTTCATCTATAACATGTTAATGTTAAAACTTTTTAAAAAGCTCGAAATAACATCTTCAGGTTACTCCTTTATTGCAACCAACTGTCCACCCCCGACTCCCCTAAAATGAATTACCATCAACTGACAAAGAAAAGACAACGATGTCTTATTGCAGTTGTTTTTTTGTTGTTGTAAGTTTGCTTATAAAATTACTGAACATATTCTTCTTTTAATCTACTTCTGGACAAATCTGTGGCAGCTTTACAAACAAAACCAGTTTAGCACACCTTTTATGGTTGTATTGATTTAGGCACCACAAGCTGGCACATGAGACTTGACACTTGATAGAGTCTGAAAGCAGAAACCAATCACAGAGCAGGACCTGGAAGCACCCTCTTGCCGCTGTTTTTTTTTTTTTTTCCTCAGCAGGTGTCTGAACATGTGTTTGATGTCTCTCCCTGGTATCAGCTGATCACACTGTACCCTGAGAGGAAAGATGGTGCTCGATCACCACAGTGTCTCTTGGCTTTTCTATTTTTAAACCTGACACTTAGCACCTTGAGAAAGCTGGGCTCATCCAAGTTTAAGCCTAGCAAGTTTTGTTTCTGGATTTCCCTTTTAGGAGACATGAATCTGTACATAGATGCATCTGCTGGCCTTCAGGAAGCCGTCTGTTTCTCACCTAGGCTCTCATGCAGGGATAGTGGTGCAAAGTAGAGTCACTCTTTAAATCATCAAAATGAAACTGCTCCCTTCTCCCTTCTCCCTTTCCACAGAACAGTATCCTCTTTCCTTTACCACATTTCTGAGAATAGGTCCTCTTGTAAAAAGTCATATTCAAAAAGAAACTGCTGATCCTCCAATAACAGATCAAACTAATAAGTGCAGCTTATTCAGAATCATGCATTTTCATCATTACATCACATTATCATCCCCTGACCCTGAAGAGGTCAAAAAGATCCAACAACACTTGTAGCACGAAGATCAACTTTATCAACAATCGTCTCTAATTTGTTAATAAAGTGTTGCTGGAGCTTTTTGACCTCTACGACTGTAAGCCTTTCACTCTTCATGCGCCTTGGTAGTTGGTGAAGTTGTGCCAGAAAATCCTTTGCTTCATCCCCTGACCCTGTCAGTAACTTGTTAGCTCCGTCTTTCACGATAAAGAAAGTGGTGTGAACTCAGATGTCTGCTCAGTGGAAAGGAAAGTTTAAAAGGAAACATGAGAAGGAGGTAGGGCAGAATGAGCTGGATCCACTAAGCACAGATAATGCCACAGACCCAAGCAGGAACAACAGGAGGGAAACCACCGACACTTCTAGTCAAATTAGAATG